TATATATAAGACAATCATATCTGATTAGAGAATGCCACATCATCTTCTTCACATAAGACAGGTGACTAATCATTGCAAAACATATTATCATCCACATTCTTCTAATTGAATTTCCAACTCTACCTATATAACTGTTAAATATTGTCACCAGTTACACTCCATGGCAGGAGATAGCCAAAGTCGTGGTAGTGAGATCTTGCCAGCAGAGACCCAGAGATATAAGAAACCAGTGGGTGCATACATTACTTGCCTAACTCTGTGGGGCATCTCTTCCATTTGCATTAGATGTGGTGATTAGGTACACTTAAAGATTGTTTTTTCTATCTTTAGTGCCATCAAATTTATAAATGTAATTACGTGCCGAGGGGCAGTATGAAAATGTGACTGAAACAATGCTGAAATATTGAACCTGATAAAGAACATTATAAGCTCAATGTTTACTATTCTATATAAACTTCCCAATTGGCATGATTCCATTATGTTTATTTTCAGCTTCATCATTGGCTTAGTGTATAAGAACATCCAACAAGTTAAGAAGATATATAAGACAAGTAGGAAGACACAGATAATCTTTATTATGTTCAGTACCTGAGTGGTGGATTTGTTTAACATGCATCGAGATTTTCCTGTTCAGAGTCTACTTGGGAGTACAAGTGTCATGACTGCCTTGTATGGTGTTGTTCTGTGTTTCTCTTCCTTACTTTCAATTTCTTTTTTAAGCTGTTGATTGAAGAAACAGTGTTTCCTATTGTAGATCCTAGCACCTTATGCCATCATATGGAAAAAGATAATAGAACCGTACATACCGTACATATACAGACATGCAGACTTTTTAATAAACATATAATGGTGATATTTTTTATTTTATACAGGATATGTGATATTGTTTGAATGTAAGGGCTAGTATGTCCCTCAGATATCTCCAATTGCAAGGCTACAAAAATGCACTGGTAAATACATTGGACTTGGATTGTGCCATCAGCTTCAACAGTTTTAACATAGCTATTCCTCCTGCAACATCCTGCCTATAGATATTTTATGTTTCTACTTCCTTTAACTGGCTAAGCAGTCAAACACACATTTTAGTTACAATGGTTTGTACAAACCATATAACACTTAAGTTCAAATCACACTTTGCTGTCCTTGCGCATTGCGTGCATTATGATTAAGCCCGTAATTGGGTGCAATGCATCAGAGAAGGGCTGACCTAGGGCAGGACTATGTAAATCTGTACGAGCTACAATAAAGTTTTTCTCCCAGTGAAGTTTACAGTGTGCAGCAGGATTCTTTTCAGTGTTGGATTAGATGCTGTTGTAACTGCTTGAAATGTGTCCAATAGAGTTGGGTCTAATTTATTTGTTTCTTACTTAAAGTCCATTTAAAACTATATGTCCATCTATGACTACTCTGTCCACAGGGTTACAACACAGCAGAAGGAACAGTGTTGTCACCCTATTTCAGGAAGTAGAAATATAATGGTTAATATATAATATAATAATTTAACCGGTAATTAAACAGGGGGGTTACTCAGAAACACAAAAACTGCATCATATACAGTGGGGTTGATTTGCAAAATGCCTAACCACCTATTATATTAGTTTTGCCAGCTGTGGGGTTATTAAAAGCATACAAGCTCAATTTATTTAGCTATATCACATGTGTTATTTGTTATAATGATCATCATTTTTAGCCAATTGACTATCATATGCTGCTCTTATTGTCTGTCATTGCTGAAAATTCTCATTGTAGATGCAAATAATAATGCTTAGTGAATTGAACCATACAAGATGGCATGCAGAAAACAGTTGTAGAAGCATACCTCCCAACTATCCCTCATTTGGCAGGACTGACCCTCATTTGGAACCAAATCCCACTGTCCAAAGTGTACCTTGTACTAACAGGCCATTGCCAGAGTTGCAATGCAATGCCATTGCAGCTGCTCAGTGGATTACTCTGTTATTTGCATCTAGTTCTATAAGCAGGTATTGCTCTGCTAATGAAGGTGTAATATGTTAGCACTTAGTAAATATACCTCTTCACAAAAGGCATATTCATAAGCTACCTACAGATTCAGTAATACATTCTGCTCCTTGCAAGTCCAAGCCTGCTAAAACATGTTAGCGTGTTTATATTGAATGCCATGATGTATGTTGAAAGGCATAAGTTAAACTTTGCTCATGCACCCACATTGTATGCTAGATTGTAATGTGATTTCCATGGCAAAAATAAACATAACAAACACGGAGGTATGAACAGGTCCTTCGACAGTGACAATGTGTAATTATACAGTATATAGTCTATTTAATAATAGGCCAAAGATTGTCACACATTTACTGCTTTAACTCAGTTAAAGGTGACTATACTGGATAAGATCAATGGAATACAATTTGTTGCAGAAACACAACACTTAGGCCCCTTTCACATAAGCATTCCCATCTGGTCCGTCTGTAAGTTTTTCAGCCGGACCCTATTGGAAGCTGTATGGAAGTCTAAGGGCAGGCGAGTTTAAACGGACGAGCGTCCGTTTACACCCATTTGGCTCCGGCTCAGTCCAGTAAACCAGACGGATCATTGATCCATTTCGACAGACCGGATTGTGCCGGACTGGAAGTAACCTGATGTAAATGGATTAGTCATAGACTTCATAGGGTTCAGCACTTTCAGTTTTTTCCTTCCATCGACAGATGGAGGAAAAAACTGTAACTGTATTAGTCATAGACTTCATAGACTTACATCAGATTAGTCATAGACTTGCATAGGGTTCAGCACTTTCAGTTTTTTCCTTCCATCGATAGATGGAGGAAAAAACTGTACAGACATGGATGTCACAGTGGTAACATCCAATCTGTGCCGCTCTGATCAGGAGAGGATCTGTTGACAGATTCTCTCCTGATCGGCCAGTTTAAAATGGGCCTTACTGCATGGAATGTACAAGTCTGGTTCAAAGCAGTAAAAGTAGCTTTGAGGAGGAGGCTGGGGTCTGCTTTGGGGGAGGAGGGCATAAGAGTGATTAAATCATGTGTTCTAATCTGTCTAATCACTCATTTCCTTCCACAGTTGCTGTTTAGGAGGGTTAAGGAGTCACCCATAAACATGGGACTGACAACCTATTTCACAAATAACCGTCATCTCATATCTAAGAGTACCTTTAAAATCTATCATTGTCAATTTTTTCCATCATTTTGGAAAATTTTGGTGACTGATTTCACCTTGATTTGCTATTCTTCATAAAAAAATTGTTTTACTCAAAGCACTCAAAGAAAATCTGTCAGAGGAGGAACACAGAGGACACTCATGTTGACTTGTATGCACCACTACTTTCTAAGTTGCTGATTAGAACAAGTATGAAGACTTTTTTGATTTGGATACTTGTTCCAGATCAAACACTGAATCCAAGGCATTAGGATACTATCTGAGGTTGGTATGGCAAGGTTATTTTAATGATGACCAAGTCAAGGAGAAAATTGTGTGAAAGTGGAGGGCTGCAAAATTTTTCTGCAATGTTGCTGCAGTTGTAAACATGTACCTCATCAGGTACTCAGTTTTATACAAATATGTGCATATGACATTATTTTATTACAGTTATGTAGATGGACATGTAATCCTAATGGCTGGCTTCCAAGATGGGCCCAGGCCACTCAAACATCTGCTGTTCATGATATTTCACTGTCAGTGGTTGTGGTCCTAGTACTATCAATTCAATATTAAGTCAAGGCTAGTTAATGTTAAAGAAACAACCTCCTATCCCAACCTCCTATCCCTTACAGCCAAGAAAGGTGCCATCTTAGGCTCTATTTGAATTACAGTTGCCATGGTGCTGCATATGTGATCAGCTATGACACCAGCCATACAGGGGCTTGAAAGGTAAGTTGAAATAAGCACTGGCAACCTTGACAGCTGTCATGCAGCTGTAACTATAACTATTTTGAGAGACATTAAATTAGTAGGTAAACTTCTTATTTAACTAGACAGAAATGGCACAAGCATATTTCTCCACCAGTGACCTAGTGATTGGAGTTTCAGCTGCATAAGAGAATTGTGAAGATTGTGTGCCACTAGCTCTGGCTAGGTTTCCTTTGCAAGAGGCTTAGACTAGACTACCTTGGCTAATGAATCTATGTTATATTTTTAAATTATACATGCAGTACAAATTAAATCACTTTCTTCAGTCTGACTGAGTTTATTGGGTTATTAGTAGGCCTGGATACATTTGTAAAATCAACTTTTTCAATTTATCAGCGGTTGTTTCAGTAACATGGTAGCAGTCTCTAAATCAAGGGGTGACTGAAAATATTTGCCTGTGGGGCAGACACAACCAACTGGCCTAACCAGCTTTCTGTAGTTTAAAAAAAAGTGCCCCACACAAAGTGTGATGCTGCACTGATGTAATTGGTATACTGTGAAAGGTGGGTATTGTCTTAAAGGACAGAGTTTATTGCTACACATTTTTTGCTATGTAGATGCTATATATGCTTATAAAGAAGATTTTAAAGGATTAGTTGTAAATCATAAAATACTTTGAGTTGAACAAGATAACTGCTGCTTGGATTTACCTTAACAAAATACTACACCATGCCATTATTACAAATAATCTGACTGCAAATCCTGCTCTAATTGAGGTTTCAAGGGGGGAATATCTCCACTCGGGGGCAGCAGCACACCATACATTATTTGCACTGGCCTAGAGAGCAAATGCCCCTGTGCCCCATGTCCCAGTCCTCCTCTGCTATAAATCCTCCAGAACTTGAGTTATTTTGCACTCCATACCCTCTGAAGATAAAATAAAACAAAAGCCAATAGTTTTGCACCATATGTACACTTATACATAGTAAAGCGTGTGATTGGATGTGGTTTTCACTGCTGTAGCACAGGGCTAACAAGGCAAAGTCAATTCACACGAATGCAAAAAGATCTTATGTCGGTGATCAGTCATGATTTATACTGTAACTAAGGAAATTGTGGCTGATTTACTAAAGGAGTAAATTATTTTTTCTTTGGAAAGTGAATTTTCCCTTTACAAGGGAATTTCCCTTAGCTTAGTGAATGAGGTGAAGTGTGCTGGCTTCAATCATCCATCCATGTGCAAATAAAATTATTGTTTTTTAATTTTCCTTGCACATGATTGGCTATTCTTGGCCAATTGACTGCAAAGTGAATTTTCCCCACGCTCATTAAGGTGAAGGAAAATTCTCTTGCATAGTCAACATTTACTTTAGAAAATAAGCCACATTGTTCTCCACTATGAGACTACTGTATGTATTCAACGTGAATAACAAAGATATTCACAAAAGGGTGTAGAGTTTGGAGAAGGCAGGAGAAGTGAACAATCTAGGACAACATAGCTGATTTGGAAAAATTCTCCAATTCAGCTCACTTTCCAGTTCAGCTATGTTGTCCTAGATTGTTCACTTCTCCTGTCTTCTCCAAACTCTTCACCATTTTGTGAATAACCCTGTAAATGTAGGCTTATGGCTGAAAGACATCTATGGTCTTTATTTTCCAGTATTTTTAATTTA